AATAAGAATCCGATGACCTGAGTCTGAATCCTGACCCCAACATTTAGCACCAGTATGACTTCAAACAAACTATTTTATGTGTTTGTGCCCTGTTTCCTCAACTGTGAGCTATTTAAATAATACTTGCCTTGTTGTGAGGATTAAATGAAATTTTAAATGCTCGGTATTCTCATAAGAGACTTAAAAAAATTCCCTGCTAGGATAACTTTGCTTCCTCTGAGAAACTGCTCTGCTTCCTTTTTTCGATAACAGGAATTATGTAGCCATTCACGTCGTCACTTTGCTTCACCTTCCAGAAAATTCAGAGCCCATTTTGAAGTTCACTTGTAACAACTAGGCTGACTCTTAGAGTCTGTAAATTTATATTTTTTCCTTTCCCTGATATTGGATTTTTACTTTTATTTAAATTTTCCCTGATCTCAATTTTCAATTTCATTACCTTTTTAACATGTGTGCTTTCATGTAAGCTGTTCCCAATATTTTTTGGAGCAAAGTAGTGGAGGTGGAGAGGAGGAAGCAGGGGAGGGGGGAAGCTCAATAAGCATTTCTAAGAAGAAAAGTATAATATGATTAATCTAGTTGTCCATAGCTTCCAGGAACTGCTGCATTGAGGTGTTTAATTAATGACACTTCCTATCTGTGGAGCACCTGTACTTTCCCAAGATGCTCTGCCCATGATGTGAGAGTGTCACAGGTAACACAGTCTCATTATGGAGAGTCTTTTCTGGCATTTTCTGGAAGGTACCAGTGAGGACTGGGAAGGGCACAGTCTTTCTTCTTCCTCTCTCTTTCTCTCTCATTTTTTTTTTTTTAATCACAGTTTGGGTTATTAAATATAAAACACTGGAGCCTTGATATAACAACCAATCTTTGCCACCAGCCACATAATTTATTTATGTACCTAGAAACGTTCCTGTAAAACATCTATATACTATAGATGGATAGATAAATGGTAAGTGATAGCTGAAAGAAAAATAGTCTAGACCTCAGAGGAATCTAATAATTCAAACTTACTACAGACAGCCTGAAGATAGTTAACATATATAGTATTGATTATATCAAGATTTAGTACTCTGGAAAAAACCTCATAAAAAACATTTTGCTATCACAGGCGCTTGAGAGAGAGGCAATTAAAATGCAAGAAACACCAGTCTTGTTCATATGAAATTTTACAAATATTTCTAGGAACAAGACCATTGTCTCCTAAGAATAGAGGCTTGGTCACAAACCTAGCTTCTGAAAAACCAGAGAACGCTTTTTCTTCATTTAAAAGAAAAAAATAAAGCAATACGATCCAGGCTTATTCCCTTTGTTTTTACGTTACAGTCCCGGATGTGTTCCCATTGACGAAGGAGTCAGCTATCATGCCTTGTGACGACTGTCACCAAAAGGGGGTTTTGGCATTTCTGTAGACAAACTCTTCTTACAAAGAAAGACTGGATACTACTTTGGGACCATAGCAATTATAAATAGACATCACAAATAGTCTAGTTTTTATTTGTTACCATACTAGTGACGGATAAAAACTAGACTATTGGTGGTGAGCATGATGCTGTCTACACAGAAACTGAAATATAATAATGTACACCTGAAATTTACACAATGTTATGAGCCAATATGATCTCAATAAAATAATTAAAAGTAAATAAATAAATAGACATCACACATTTCTGTCTGCTCCCCTCTGCTTATTTCTCTTCATACTCTATTTTTTACATAGGTGATCTCTCTTTTTCCCAAAGTTTCAAATACTCATTTTATGCTATGGCTTCCAAATTTACAGCTTCATCCCTGATTGTTTTTCTCTTGAACCCCAAACCTGGGATTCCAAACTATCCAGAGAATACTCCACTTGGGTTTCCTGACAGCACGCCAAATTTAATTTGTTAGAAAATAGACTCCCCCTCCTCTCTGCCCCCTTTCCCCAACTGCTTCATTAGGTAATTCTTCTTCACAAATGACCTTCCATCCCCTGCCTGTTGGCTATCAGAGAATCAGCATGGCTGTCCCACAGACTGGAATGCAGCGGAAAAGTTGATGGGACATGTAGGGTAGACTCAAGCTATAGGTCCCCACCCTACATCTCCCAGAAGCTTGTTCTTCCTGCCTCCTCTGTGCTCGGAGACTTCTGCCCATGCCTCTATCACAGAACTTTGCTCACTGCTGTGTGACTGTTTCTGTCTTTCCCTTTTTGGAATTTGAGGTCCAAGGGTAGAGAAAATATCCTACTGTTTTAATGTAACCAGTCCCTTAGAGTATATTTCTGAATGAACTTTTCTTAATCCGTTTGGAAAATATTTATTAAGCACCTGCTACGTGCTGGGCATATGATTTTGAAGATGACAGACTTTGTTCTCACCCTCAAGCAGCTAGGGAACCTAGACCAGAAGGGAAAAAATGCTGTTAAAGTAGAAGTTCAGATGCTCTAAAAGCACATGAAGGTGGGGGAAATAGGGAGAGGTTGGTAAAAAGGGACAAACTTTCAGCTATAAGATGAATAAGGTCTGAGGATCTAATGTATAACATGGTGACTAGAGTTGATAACCTGTATTGTATGATTGAAAACATACCCACCAAGAAAAACATTCCCACCAAAAAACAAAAAGTAAACATGGGTGATGAATGTGTTAATTAACTCAATGGAGGGAATTCTTTCATAATGTATATACATATATCAAATCATCACGTTGTATGCTTCAAATATCTTACAATTTTATTTGTCAATTTTTCCTCAATAAAGCTAGGGTGTGGGGAAGCACATGAGAAGGTGGTTAATCTTCAGGAAGAAAGGATAGAAAACACAGCACGGACTAAGGTGAGGCAAGCTAGGTGCTTAGAGCACAAAATTTAAGGAGGCGCTCGCTGTCCAAGTCCTGCAAGTGTAGGGGCAGGTCCTGAGCATGACTGCCTCCTTAAATTTTGTTTCCTGGGTGCCTCACCCTAGTCCTGGCCCTGATGGGAAACTTATGACCTGCCTATGTATGTTAAGAGTCATTTGCAAAAGTATCCCCAGGCAGGTTGGTAGAGCCTTAGAGAGCAGGATCCCCTCCAACAGGAAATTAAGTATTTTATAGGACCTGAGAAGTCTCCCTCCTATTAAAGGGGGTCCTTGAGAGATTAAGCACAATCCCTTTAGATAAGTTGACGAGTACAACCACCACAAATACAGGAATAATAGAAACGAGAGTAAAAGAATGTGCTTATACAGTACTAGTAATGGCACGTGTTAAGTACAAACAGCATAGTTTCTTTTCTACTTTCAATTTCCTCATCTGGAAAATGAAGTAATAATAACACTCTATCTCAAAGGGTTGTTGTGAACATTAAATGTTACTAAATGCTAAGAGCTTAGAACAGTGCCAGACACACTGTTCACACTGTGAATGTTCAGTGAATGCTAGTTAATATTATTCTGTATTCCTCTAACTCCTCTTAGCAGATACACCTGCAGTGTGTACTCCTCTAGAGGGTGATAGCTTGAATACCACAGACTCTTGATTTGAGACCAGAGAGGATCTTAAGAATTAGCTGAGATATTTATACAATACTTTCAGGACATACTGCACACGACACTTAAAACTAGCATGTCGCTAAACAAAACATTCCCCCTTCTCCTTCATCCTCATCTTCTACTCTGGAGTTTCCTATCACAATTAATGGCAATGATATCTACTTATTCTTGATCACCTCACCCGGTTTTAATCCTCTGCTTTGCAACAGGTATCATTATGTGTGTGTGTGTGTGTGTGTGTGTGTGTTTAACAATTTGCTCCCCCAACTAAAATGTAAATTCCCATGAAGGCACAGGCCGTTCTCTTGTGTTAATGGCTATATTTCCAGCACCTGGTACAGTGCCTGACACAGCAGGCACTCAAACATTTTTGAATAAATGGATGAATTCTCATCTCTTCTCTTGTCTTTCCTCTTACTCTCCATCAGTTGAAACAAATTCTGTGAATACAATCTCCTGAATATCTTTCACATAGTGTGTTCCATCCCCACTGCCACTGCACTATCTCAAGCCATCGCCTTTTCCATTTGGATTCCTGAAATGGTATCTTACCTGCTCCTCTCCCTCAAGTCTCCCATTTGCCCCCAAAACAGTCTTGTTAGTGGAGTCAGAGCCCTCTTACTAAATCAACCATTTTGCTCCACTGCTTAAAGTATTTCAAAGAAATCCCTAAGGTTACATGCTATGTGATTCCATTCCTATACCATTCTTATAATTGTAAAGCTGAAGAGAATAGGAACAGATTAGTGGTCACCTGAGGACAGAGATGAAGGTGGTATGGGGGGGCGTAACTATAAAGGGGTAACAGGAGAGATTTTCTTCACGGTGATGGAACTGTTCTACATCTTGATTGTGGTAGTGGTTACATGAATCTACACATGGGATAAAACTGCATAGAATTACACACACACACACTCACATACCATGAGTGCATGTAAAAACTGGTGAAAATTTAATAAGGCCTGTATTTAACATCATTGTATCGATATCGGTTTCCTGGTTTTGATATTGTGCTACAGTTATATGAGATGCCACCAATGGAGGAAGCTGGGTGAAGGGTTCAGAGGTCTCTGTACTATTTTTGCAATTATGTGATTATTTCAAGATAAAAAGTACTTTTAAAAAAATTTTAAAGATCACAATTACCCTCAAGAAAAAAATGCATCCTGTGGCATCATCACAATTCACAAGACTTTGAAGCCTCTGGCCTCAGATTGCATCTCCAGCTTCATCTCTTGCCATTCAGATGATTTGGTTGTAAACGGAGCAATGAACCCTAATTCATTTTATCCTGTTGTTTCATTAGTCCAAACTTCTACAAATATTGTCTTTTTAATGAGTATATAGAAACAAAAATAAATAATGTGACATACATTGGTTTCTGTATCAGTTAGCTGTTGCCATATAACAAACCACCCAAATTTAAAATCTTAAAACAATAAACATTTAATATTGCACATAAGTGAATGTGTCAACGGGGCTCACTTACACATCTGTGTCAGCTGTGGCTCAGTTTTTGATGTTCAGGTGGCTACAGGCTTGCTTAGAATGATCTTGGCTGAAATAACTAAGCTCTTCCACGTGGTATCTCGGCCTTCAGCAGACTATTCTCACAGCTGTGGCAGGGTTCCAAGAGAAGGAAGAAGTGCTCAAGGCTTTGACTTGGACTTGTACGTAGTTACTTTCACCAAATTCTATTGGCCAAAGCATGTCACAAGGCCAATCCACATTCAAGAGGTGGAAAAATTGATGCCATTTCTTCATGGGGGACCTGCAAAATCACATTGCAAAAGGTATGGGCATAGTGTGAAAAATTGGGGCAACAAATTAACCTACCAAAATCTCCAAATATAAACCATCAAAACCTGAATAATGCATTTTCCATTATAATATAAAATGCTAAGGTTCTGGGTGGGATGGCAAACATATTTCCAACCTAAATTCATTATTTTAAAAGACTTCTTTCTATGGAGCAATGGAAAAATCATGATCTTTTTAAAGACAAATAATTTTTATTCTTAATTCCTCTAAGGTTATGCATTTGACAAGACTTTAAAAATCTGCTTCTCTCTTCTTTCAGCCCCTTTTTCTAGGCTTAATTTCCTTTTTGTTTTTTCTTCAATTTCAGTCTTAATAAAGTAGCTTAGCATTCAAGCAGCAGCAGCCCCCTCCCAGGGAGATCTACTGTTTCATATTAATGTTCACCTAAAACGAAGCAATGCCCTGCTGCCTTCACATTCATTCAATGAGAGATGCTAATCTGTAGAGAAAGGCAGGTAAGGGTGATGCTGCTGGCCTCATTTTGTCCTTAGGATGCAGGAGACAGAAGCGGGGAGCTGCCAGATGGAAGTGGGAAATTTGATCCTGCTGCCCAAGTCAGTGTCAGCTGTAAAACTCTAATCATCCAAGAGGGCAGGAAGTCACCTAGGCTATTCAGCTGGTGGGCACCCATGTGAAAGGGAGAGATAATCATTAATGTCACTCCCAAGATAGGAACTTCTTTACAGACAGAAATAGATTCCACCAGCACGTTGCATGGAGCCTATTGAAGTGCAGACAGTGATTTGTAAAATATTACCAGAGCGGTAGAGCAGGCTTAAATCAAATTCAGCAGCATGTGATTAGTTGATAAAATAACTATTTTGTTGTGCTTTGGACTTTATGAAGTCATGTGACTTTAAATTCTGGATGACAAGCCATTTCTGTATATTGGAATGAAAAGCTTTTCCCAAGTAGCATTTACTCTGTAAAATTCTTTATATAAATGTTACTGGTAAAGAAAGAATAAAGTCTTCCTACCAGCTTACCCACCTGACACAATAAAACAATGCTCTTTCTCTAAAAAGCCTTCCAAGAATCAACTTCAGCTTCAAAGAAAGTAAAAAATTTGTGGATCACATGAAATAAAGTGCACTAAGACTAAAGTTTCTCTTGGTGCCCATCCATATTCTTCAATAGCATCCTCGTCTTTTTTTCACTGACTGAAGATAGAACTGTGGCTAACTAGGGCAGTTTTCATTATCTAAAAAATCCTCAAAGCTCTAACTATTGCTATATTTATGCATATGGAAAATTTACATGCATGAAAAACAGAAGCCCTATTTTACCTCGTACCCAGATCTATTGAGGTGAAGGAATGAGGTAGTTTTCATATCTTAGTAAGACTTCAATACTCAAATCTTAATAAAAGTTCAACTGCTTCTCTTACACTCCCAACTCTTGGTACAAATGTATAATACAAAATGCCAAGAACTCAGTAAATGGAGATGTACAAATAAACGCATGAAGGATTATGAGCTTCTTCTCAGTATTTGTTAGGCTAAACACATGACAGACATACCGGATTTTTCAGAGAGCAGTGTCATTTATAGGTCAGCCTATGCACTGGCTTATGGACTACTTGTTCCTGTTAAATGAGTCAGATGAGAAGATGAGATGACAAAAATATCTTGTAAATATGGACGGGTGGTACCAGCTTGTAATCACACAAAAATGGCTGTACGTATTGTACCAAATACATAGATACTTTATCATTTACAACAACTTTTGTCTTTATTTAAACATCAAATCCTTGCAGCAGCCCTGTGAGGTAGATGATGAGTAAACTGCAGATACTTGAGGTTCAAAAGATTAGAGGCTCTCTCCAGACCCCTCAGTTAGTAAATGGCCAAGCCAAAATCCCAAACTTGAGTGTTTTAACTCAAAATTTAGTTTTCTTTCTGTTATCATCATCTTGGTAAAAAGAAAAAAAATCCAGCCCCTCCCTTCCTTTCCCCAACCTTCTGAAAAACGATGGTTTTAAAATTAAATGGAATATCCTAAATAGAACTGACTAGGATAAAAGGCACAGCTTCACTGTCACAGAAATGGTTGTCTAATTAATTTTGTCACTAACATCCTTTGAAGTAGGTGGGGTGAGTAGTGTCTCCCGCATGACAGGTGAGGAAACAGCCCTTTCATGAAGCATGATGGCAGTTTGCTGACCCTGACGCCACTCTGCTCTTCTCCTTGCCAATTCGGGACCAGGATGTCGTCCTCCATTGCCTTTTATCAGAGAGCAAACCCCAGAGAATGCTAGGGCGAACTGCTATGGAAATTTGATAGCAGGACTGTGTTGTGTAGGTTGTAACTCTGAAAGTGATAAGTACTGCACACTAAAGCCTACTTTCAACTTTCCCCTCCTAAAAATACTCCTCTGAAGGCAGAAATTGCTTTAACTTCAGCCCAAGCCTTTCATTCCATGATTAGACATGAAAATCAACTTCAGCTTCAGAGAAAGTAAAAAGATTGTGGCTCATATGAAATAAAGTTTACTAGCACTAAAGCTTTTACTCTCTGGAGTTAGTTTACCCATTGAGTTCGAGTTCTGACCCTTTCTACAGCCCTTTGGAATTGGCAGGTCTACAATAGTCCACAGATTTGGGTGAAGAGTAAATGAAATAATAAATGAGTACCTGACTTGACAAACTATGATCAGGTGCTTCCTGAGTCTTTACTCCCTTTTCTTTCCATTCCACTCAAATCTCCCTGGCTACTCCTCTCCTGAAAATGCTCTCTAGCATGTGGCCTACTCATCGTTACTTAAACTCTGGGCTAACACGTCTCATGAACTTTTCTCATGCTGGTCCATCCACCTGAAATGTCCTTCTCCCCAGCCCTGGTTGGAAAATCCAAGTCCTACCTCTGAGGATCTCACCGAAGACTTTGCTCAGTTTCTCCCATCACAAGCCCCACTCTCTGGCCCCCAACCTCCCTCCACTGATGACATCATGAGAGCAGCACATTGTGAGACAGTCAGCTGACAACATAGAGTCATCCCTCAGTATCCACAGGGGATTAGTTCCAGAACCCCCCTTGGATACCAAAATCTGCAGGTGCTCAAGTCCCTTATATAAAATGGCCTAGTACTTACACATAACCTATTCACAGCCTCACATGTACTTTAAATCATCTCTAGATTACTTATAATACTTAATACAATGTAAATACTATGTAAATAGTTGTTATACTTTATTGTTTATGAAAAATAAGCAAAAAAAGTCTGTGCATCTTCAGTACAGATGCAACCATTGTAGGCCTTTTGATCCATGGTTGGTTGAATCCATGGCTGCAGAATGCATGGATATGGAGGGTCAAGTATATGTGCCTATAAAGAAATTCTGAGCTCAATAAATATGTGCTGGATTAAATTGAAGGGAACATATCAAGCAGACTGTGTCACCTGGAGAGGAAAAAAAAGGAAATGGTAGAAAAACAGAAAACATATTTGACCTACTTACCCTCTCGCCTAGCCATGTCTAGAGGCATATTTGGACCTATTTTCATAAATTTCTCTAAAATCCTTGTTTTCATAATGGAGTAAAATAGTGGTTGCAGCACAATAGGAACTATGGCCACTAATGAGTATCTGCACATAAGTGGGTTGACTAGGATCCTTTATGATCTCTGGGTCACTCAAGAAATAAATCTTCATTTTATTTTGAGAAAAAATATTTTTAGGAGCATCAATTTGTTTTGTTTTCCTTTGTTTCATCTGTTGGGTGTTAGGTTTTTTTGTTCGTTTGATTTTTTAAAAATGAAGAATGACGAAGGCAAATACATCTTACATCAACTATTTTGGATTATCTCTACTCTTCTCTATGTGTTGTCATAACTACTGGATATCAGGGGTACAGAATTGAGGCAAAATGTTTGATGAATAGCCTAACAGGACCCGAGGCAGTTTAGGCTAGTGTTTAAGTACATGGGCTTTGGAGCCATACCATCTGGTTCAAAACTTGGAATAAAATTTACAAATTGTCTGACTTTGGGCCTCTTTATGCCTCAATTTTCTCATTTGTAAAATGAGGTAATAATGGTACCTATTGCATGGGCCCTTTGTGAGAATTAAAAGAATTAATGTATGTAAAACACTTAGAAGAATGCCTGGCATATAACAAGTACTACATAATTATTTGCAATTATTATCTGACAAATGGAAGAAATAATTTAAATCAGAACTGTTCTAGATAATTCAATACATATGGTCACTAAATTAGTTATCCATTGCGGTGTAACAAACTACCCAAAACTTAGGGGCTTAAAACAACAACCACCATTTATTTTATTTTTCATGGCGCTGAGGTTGACTGGGCTTAGCTAGGTGGTTCTTGCCCAGGGTCTCTCATGTAGCTGCAGTCAGACAGTGGCTGGGACTAGAACCTTCTCTAATGGCTTCCTTACTGGTCAGGCAGAAAATACTGAGAGTAACTAGGACTTCAGCTGGGGCTAAACATCTACATGGGGCCTTTCAATGTGGTCTGAACTTCCTTACAACACGGCAGCCAGATTCCAAGAGCAAGCCTCCCAAGACAGAGAGCCAGGCCAAAGTATATCTCTGTTAAGATTCAGTCTTAGAAGTCACACAGTGTCATTTCCACTGTACTCCATTGGTCCAGGAAGTCCCATTTTAAGGGGAGGTGAAATAGACTCCAGCCGTTGATAGGAATGGTAAGGTCACAGGTAAGAAAATCAAGTAGCATGGAAAATGTTGTTGAACCATCCTTGGGAACCACAACTTGCCACAGTCAACTGTGAAAATGTAAACATTCATTAAAGTATTTGTTGAATTGTAAAGACTGCAGGGATGACATCTTAGTCAAAAAATTTTTATTGCAAGATACAGAAAACAACTCAAACTAGTTAAGCAAAACGAAAAGCAATTTTTGGAAACATATTGTGTTTTCTCATGGAATCCAAAGGAAGTTATACTTCTCGAAAGACTGTTGCCAGAACTGTTGGATTTATCTTCAAAGTTTATCTGGAATCTTCCACATCTTACCACACCCACAACTATCATAGTCATCCTAGGCACCATCATCTCTTGCTTGGATTATTGCAATGGCCTTCTAACAATTCTCCCCATTTCTTCCCTTTGGTCCCTACTGTCTGTTCTCCACACAGCTGCCAGGGATCCTTTTAATTTGTAAGATAGGTTTTATCACCCTCTTTGCTCAAAACCTTACAGTGGTCTCCCATCAAATTCAGCAAAACATCCAAAGACTTTTCCATGGTTCACCTTAGGTTTGCCCTTGGGTATCTCTGCCACCATCACCTACCACACTCCCCGTTATTTCCCATACTCTCACCACTCTGGCCTCTTTGCTATTCCTTGAACATTCTAAGCATGCTCCCACCTTGAGGCCTTTGCTTTGGCTGTTCACTCTGCCTAGAACACCATTTCTCTAGATGTCAGCATGATTTGCTCTCTCTCCTCTTTCAGGATTCTATTCTAGTATCTCTCTATCAGATAGACTTTCTCTGACCCATCATTTCCAAAGCAGCACATAGCTCAATACATTATTTTTTAATCCCAATACTAAATTTCAAAAGGAAAGAATCTGACTGGCTTGTTATAGCTTCTGTGTATACCACAGTCCTATCAGTTTCATCTTGGTTTGGAGAGGCAGAGTTGTAACATAGTAAAGTCACAGAACGGCTAAAACCCAGTTCTTCATGGAATAGAGTTCTTCAGAATAGGAGACCTTGGGGACTGTTAAGTTCTCTCACCAAGTCTAGTGGAGCTAAGAAAGAGGTGATCACAGCTCTGCTGCTAATAATTTGGGTGACCTTAGACAAGTCAAAAGTCTGGGCCTCGGCTTCCTGCCCTATCAAGTGATGATAGTATTATCTGCTACAATTACTTGCAGTGAGACTGGTAAGATGAAAAGCAAGTGAAATTAAAAGGCATTGGAAACTTTAGAATCCATAAATGAGGTCTTAGATGTGCTTTAAACTATTTCAGCTCAAAACAAGAGATAGATGAAGCAAGTATGAAAAGTCTTAATTTTCCAGGTGATAGGTATTTAGAGGTTCCTTACACACTTTTCTGTACTTTGTGTATGCTAGAAAATTTACATAAAAAATGTGAACTACATCATAAAGGTAGGGAAATAAATGCTACAGTTAGAAGTGGAATCTCTATATACTCACAGTCCCATGGTTTGGCCTTTTATTTGTTATTATTTTGGGGATGACTTCATAGTTGTCTTTTTGTAGTCTGTTCCTAAAATAACCCAAATTTGAAAATTACTTTTAATACTACGTATGCCACCATTGTCATGACAAGAATGGTGCTTTCTAAATGTAAATTCTACGGACATTTTTAAAGATTTCAGATGATTAGAAATTTTAACATGACATTCTTTAAATAAAATCTTCTGGAATAGGGACAAAGCTAGAAGTATTTCAACCGTGAAGGTCAAGGCCACTTCTCAGGCCCAGTTTCTTTGCGTCACATTCCTTTTGGTGACTGTCACATCACTCATTCTAACAGCAAGAGTGGCTCTGAGTAAAAAGTAAATAATTTCTTTCATCACTGCTCCCAAATACTAACACATTCAGACCTTACATTTCAGTGATTTTACTGCTGATCATTATAGGAAATATATAAGATGACAAACATAACCAGAGAAATTACAAACCTTAGGGAATCTTACTAATTCATGGCCCACAGATTGATTGCTGAGATGAATGAGATCCCCATCAGATTTCTGCCCTCGGCTTTCACTCCTGAGAATGAAAATCACAAAACGTGTTCTTTCTTCTTCCTGCCAGTTTCCAGGCCAGGGATTCTGCAGATCCCTTGCTCCTGGGAGACCTGAAAGAACCTGATGCCCTTGATCTCCATGTTTCTTTGTATCTCTTAAGACCTCCAAAGCTAGTTAGAGCATTTTCCCTGAGCCTTTGCCCTTCAAAGCAATGCCTTCAAGGAATTTTTCAAAACAGAAATTATAGGTATCAAAACCCTCCCAGCATAGCTGGATATTTAACACATCTTCTACCCAAACCCCTTGATTCTGTCCAATTTCATTTGTTCAACTGATTTAAATTTAAAGTGTCTAAATTTAAATTCTAAATATTCAAGCGTCTAAAAGTTATATTATTTTTAGTTTTAAACGAGTAGGTGATATCCAAAATTGAGAATTCAGGATCTCATGACATATAAATATAAAACAAGCTTGCACATGAGCCGTATTCAGCAAACACCTGGAGCAGATCTGATGGGGGACGGAGGAGGGATTATGCTACAGGATTTCCAGAGCTGCCTAACAAATCACCTCAAATAACTGACTGTAAACAGTATGTCTGTTCCCTGGTCACTATCAAGTACTTGCTGCACTTGAGAAAACTGAAAAAATAGGACTAATTCAGTGACAATTTCTCAAAGGATAAAATTGCTAAAGACCAGAATATTATCCCAATTCGGGTTTTACACAATTCTTCCCTAGAGTTTTCACGAACCCACTAACCTATTAAACCTTGGAAGTCAATAGGGCACTTGGAACTAGTTTAGTTATCTAGTAACTAAACTATACAGAAAGCAAGCATTCTATTCCTAGCACTACCCCATTTCTTCTAAATGAGTTCCTGAGGGGAAGAAAACAAAGATCTATAAGTGGAATGGAAGTGGGGGATTTTTAAAACCATTTTACAGCCTGAGAGAATACCAACTCCAATAATCCCTTGGAGTATTCAATTGTACTAGATGTTTTTTGAAAAATAAAGGGCATAATTCTGTCTTCTCTCCTGATCAAATCTACCTTTTTTGGATATATAGAGTAATTAATGTAGCTCCTCTCTTAATAAGAAGAATAATATGAATTTTGCTCAATTCTTTTTCTGTTTTGCCTCTACCAAAAGGGGGTCCTTTGCCTACAATTTCAAGATAACGAGTACTGGGTACCTCTGCTAAAAGTTACATCAGTGGCTTCCATAGAAATGCTGAGTGT